AAATAATAGAAGACAGAGTGTCCGCAGGTTTCTATTTTCGAAATGTTCCAAAATTATGAAAAGAATGAATATTTCTATTTATAGTCCATGTATTAAAATACAAGAACGTCACAAATTTCGAAAAACATTTTTGTTATGTCGTTAAAGCGAACAAGGACTATTTCATGGCATGGGCTTCTTATTTAGTCAACTCAGAAAAACAAAAACAAAAAAACTCATAACAATGAATGCTCATAATTTAAATCAAGAAGATGAAACGTTGATTTTCACATGAGATTTAATTATTTTCGTTTTTCATATTACATATATAAACAAAATCGTTTCTTCATGTAAACAAGGATTATAATTTTATCCTATGAAAAAAACACTAGTCTACTAAAATTTATAACCAACACCTACTTTGCCCTAAAAGGACTGAAAAAAACAAAACTGGGAAGAGAGATAGACATGCTGAAAAATAGAAAAAACAACCAAAGAAGGAGGTGAGCGAGAATGAATCTCTAGTTTGTGAGAGAGAGAGAGAGAGGGTTTGTGTGGGTTAGACTGAGAAACGGAGAGAGAGAGAGATATCGCTAGTGAGAAAGAGAATTCGCCGACCGGTGAAAGAGATAGATCGCCGGTTAGAAAGAAAGATATCAACGGTGAGAGAGGAAGAGAGAGTCACCGGTTCTACAATGGAGCTCTTACCGGTGATGCTATGGATGATCTTTTTTCTAGGCCTCTTCATAGTTTCCCCTTCGTTCAATATTAAGGTACTTTAGTTATGGTTAATCATTATTTTGTGTTATTTTTTTCTTGGAAACTTGGTTAATCTTTTTATTGATATACATTACATATACCTATACGGCTATACTTATTCAAAAACCCCAATTTCGGAATTAGCTATAGTATAGTCATTTAATATAAAAATTTCCAAAATTGGAGGAAAAAATAGAAGGATGGGATATTACAGAAATTTAAATATTCCGCAGAATATGTGTAATGCTTAAACGCATCCTCTTGAGGTTTAAATTTAATACATAAAAATTTCAGAGCCACTAGGTTAAAATAGCTGAATAGTTAAACGCATCCTTTTAAGGTTAATTGCAGTTGAACGTTGAATTAAAGATCAGATTTTTAGATAGAAATTAAAGTCAGCTTACAAGAGAAACATTTGCCATCAAGAACCAAAAAACAATTGAGCTTACGGTTACTGTTTCCTTTAGCATAAAAGTTCAACTTAGGTTATAATGAACTGATATACATAGAGAGTCCAATGTGTATTCTATCGTTTGTGCGCTTATTTAGTTATACTAATATATTTATTCTTTTTTCACAGACCTCAGATGAAGAAAGTGTCGAATGTGTCGATATATATGAACAACCAGCATTTCATCATGATCTTTTAAAAACCCACAAAATTCAGGTATATTTTAAAAACAAATTGTTTATCATTTTATTTATGCATTTATCTTATGTCTTGATAATTGTTTTATTTTAAAATTTAAATAATATATTTCGACGAAAGCTAGTAAGTGTTTTTAATTTATTTTTTCACAGAAACAACCATCCGAAATTCCAAAACCGGTCCAAATAAAACAGAAAAACAAATGGGACACAAGGGAAGCCGACGTGAGCACTTGGCAGTGTCCCGAAGGAACGGTTCCAATTCGGAATGACGAAACAACTAGTTCTACTTCTACCGGTGAATCTTATCCACGTGAGGTATTATCACTATTTTTACATAGTTAGATTAATCAAATTTTTCAGAGACAACTATAATTCTGTCGTTTTAAAAACTACTTGATTCTACAATATTGTTTTAATTACAATGCTAGATTACCACCTACTAATTTAGTAAATACCTTATAGTAGGCCCGCGAGTTTGGGTCATCGGGTTGGGTCAGATTTTTTGGTTAATCGGTTTATTCGGTTATTAAAAATTCATCCAAAATAAATCGAACAAATAATCGGGTCGGGTCATATTAGGTTTATTTCGGTTATTTAAATTTCTGCCGAATTAAACCGATTCGGTTTTTTCCAGTTAAGATCGGTTTAATTGGTTAAAATCGGTTAGATTCGGTTAAGATCGGTTAATTTTGGTATAATTTCTTTTGAAAAACAAATATCGGAAATCCGATCAGTTAATCAGATTGGGTCGGGTCAGGTCGAGTTTCCGAACATAAATTTCAATCCCTCCGTATTGAACCGAAACCCAAACCGATTTGTACCAAAAACCAAAAAAATCAGTTCAGGTCGGATCGGTACAATCGGACGGGTCAAAATCGCAGGCCAACCTCATAGTTTCGTTATAATAATTTATATTTTAATCAATGATGCGATTTTTATATACACTTCGTATTTTTCGTTTTTACTTTTATCAAATTGTTATGTATGAAGGAGTATGATTTTTTTGACTGAATGAAAATATCATCAGATAGGGCCTTATGGAATGTTGCCCTCGTTCATAAACAACACGTTAGTGTTTTAGGGCCTTGTTTTAAAGAAAAGGTTAATGGATCTTTCCTAAAAACTTTTTTAGGCCTTGGAAATTTATTGATATTATGACTTGGAAAATAACAGCATGCGGTCGTAACTACGAATGAAATACCGCCGAAAATGTATGGAGCAAAGGCTACAATGAGCGTGTGGAACCCAACCGTAGAAACAGAAGGAGAGTTCAGCTTGTCACAAATTTGGATTACATCAGGAAGCTACAAAACAAACAATCTTAACAGCATCGAAGTTGGTTGGCAGGTATGCTCAAAATTTGCAGTGTTATTTCTTTTCAATATATATAATGACTATTACATTTAAACTAATAGAAATTTTCATTTTAGGTTTTACCGGATTTGTATCAAGACAAGAAGACAAGACTATTCATTTATTGGACGGTAAGTAACTAAGTATGGTTTATATAAAATTTGATTATCAATTTTATCTCATCTGTTTTACATTAAAATCACAAAGAATTACTATGCTATTATTATTATTAATCTGAAATTTTAAGTTAATTAGTATGAAGTACTAATACTCTACCTTCGCTTAAAAGGAGTAATATAATTTTATAAAACAGTATAATGGTGTTTGCATATTCGAGGTATACATAAATTCAGTCCCTTTTTAAATGAAAACCTAGTCGATTTTATTTGAGAAATTGTTAAAATGTCCAAAAGAAACAATCTGAAAATCATTTTAGTGAGATAAATGTGCTTTAAACTACCGTAAAATAAATATATAGATTACTCAAATTTTGTATAAAGCACATTTATCTCATTAAAATGATAAAAATGTGAGCAGAATTATATTTTTAAATTACTTAATTAAGTTTATTCTCTTGATTTATGCGGTGAATGCATGAAGGGATGAACAATGTGGACATTATTTGAAAATGAGTAGTTCATAGAGAATTCAGCTAGAATGCAAATAATAACTCTTATCCTTATCAAATAGTAACATCTAACATTCTTAATTCATAATTAGTTGAAATTTTCATTTGCTAATATTTATTCTATAAAAAAAAATCATTTGTTAACTTTTACTCGTGATTCCTCTTTTTTTTTTGCATATAAAATAAAGGGTTTCAGTGCAGTGCTTATTTAGAAATACTTAAATTAAAATCATGTAAAATAACATGATTTTGATATGTTGACAAAAAAACATGATTTTGATAAGTTTACTGATAAAATAATACAAGTTTTGTTATTTAGAGCGACACATACAACGTAACCGGATGCTATAACCTTCTGTGTCCTGGTTTTATACAAACCAGTAACAGAATTGTTCTTGGAGGTACCATTACTCCTATCTCGGTATTCGGAGGCAAACAATCTGAGATCACCGTATTTGTGTGGAAGGTTAGTTTGTTTAATGTTAAAAGTTTTATTTTGCATAAGGATTTACATTTCTAAATAAATAGTTACATATCATCGTTGATAAATAATGTAGGATCAAAAGAGCGGAAACTGGTGGCTGAGTTTAGGATCCAACCATTCATTGGTTGGATATTGGCCAGCCGAAATTTTTGCAAATTTAGCTTATGCAGATGAGGTCCAATGGGGTGGTGAAATCGTTAACTCGCAAAGTTTGGGCCGTCACACGACAACACATATGGGTTCTGGTCACTTCTCCGATGAAGGCTTCGGCAAAGTTGGCTACTTCCGCAACTTGGAGATCATAGATAATAACAGATTCCAGCCGGTTCAAGACATAACAGTAAAAGCAACCGATCGCAAGTTCTACGATATCAAAGACATGTTTAGAGAAGATTGGGGTACTTATTTTTTCTATGGGGGGCCTGGCCGGATCCATTCAGGAGTCTCTTCTCTAGCATTGAGTTCCTTTTTCTTTTACTTTAGTTTCATCATTTTTTTTATCATCTAGTTTATTTCACATTATTATTTTCGATTTAACACAAGTTGTAAAATAAATAAATGTTACACAGACTTTTAGATTAATCGAATCATGGATGAGTAAAGTAAGTTTGGTAGCAATGTTGACAATTTAGTTATCTCTTTTCATATGTTGATTTCTTAGCAAACCCTGACCCTGAAAGTGGAGATTTTGGAGAAGAGAGAACCATGAGCTTTCACTAATAGCTGCTCGAGGCACATAACACATTCTTTGATACAAATAAATTGAAATATCAAACGTGTTGTTTAAAAAGAAAGAAGTATAGATCATCCAAATTATAGTTAAGGCTCTTTTGCTACACCACAATAAGTTTTGATGCTGCTGATTCTAAAATCTGGACAATCAAACTCTGGCCGGGCTGGGCCTGTAATATTTTCTGTTTTTTTCCTTTAATCCAATTACAAACCCTTTATATATAAACAAAAAGAACTCACACATGACATGAGAAAGATCAGAACTGCCCAGGCAAGAAGAAAGAGAAAACAAGAACCAAAACTACAAGCAAACCCTTTCTCTCTCGCTGGTTAGACCGATCAAATTGCATCGCACAAACTTAATAGTACTAGTTTGTTTTATAAACACAACCACCAAGTAATTAAGGCCACAGAAACGATAATATAGTTTTATTTCATTGAAGAGCATACATAAATCTCATGCTAGAAAAACATAATTCAGTCCTTCAAATTGGTGATCGATCGATTTCTATCATTTTTGCAACAACATCTTCCATTAATACAATTTCCATCTCTGTAATGCTCGAGGATACAGTCATGAAAGCATTCAAACGTTCCATACCTTATTGTACATGGTGTAGAGCATACATCATTTTTTGATGTCTCCATCACTGTAACACATATACAACTTATGTTAAAGAAAAGTAAAATATACAAACACATATATACTCCCTCCGTTTCAAAATAAAAATTGTTTTAGGTAAAAGCACGCAGATTAAGAAGATCTACTTTTAAAAATTTCAGCCAATCATAAAAGAGACTGCATAATATAAATAATCATAAAATATTAAAATAATATATAATTTGCATTGAAACTCGAAAACGACTTATATTGTGAAACAAAGTACTTTATCTAAAACGCCTTATATTATGAAACGGATGGAGTATTAAAATAGGTTTTACATTTTTTTTCCTATAAAGTAATATATTCAATAGTTACTTTTAAAATGATCAAAAATAATTGGACAATAACAACGTACCCGATGAAGCCAAAACGCCGGAGTTGGACAATGAGTTTGTTAATATCACTACAAGGAAAAAAATCACATAAGCTTTTGTGATATTCATTTTTTTCTTACAGTAAATTCTCTGGTCTAAGAAAAAAAAACAGAAGTCTATATTGTTCTAAATCTTATACGAAAAGCTTTATTTATAGGATTCTCTGCTGAGAAATGTCTCAATTTTCAACCTAATATTTTATTTTTAGTTTTACCATAAATAATTCTGCCATATTTGCTAATAACATTATTTTGGTGGTAAGAAAATATTCACATATACAATTATTTTAAAAATATAGAATCAAAGATATATAGTCATGGAAATATTACGGTCAAAGATGTGTTTGGTAACTACATATAACTATATAAGTAATGCTGTTGATGATTTTGATTTTTATTAAGTAGAAAGAATCTTACAATTAATATCATTCAGTATGTCTGATTAAATACAAATCTAAGTTCAGAAATTAATGTAAAAAAATTGAAATGACAATTATATATACACTGTCAATTTTTGGGTCAACATTAGCATATATATATATTTGCATGTATGGTATGATTCTAAATTTGTTAGTGCCAAATCATTGAACACGGTCAAAAAAAAGTTTTTGGTAACTGCAGGGTTAGTAATACAATACATATGGTTAGTTTAATTAATCAGAAAGAAAAGTCTAACAATTTTCTCTCCACAGCAAAAATGTTTTAATTGCTAGAGCGGCTTAACTAATCCAATCATGTTGTTTTTTTTTTTTTTTTTTTTTGGCAACAATCATGTTGTAGTTCTGTGTTTTTTAATTAGTTCACAGCCCTTTTTTTAATTAGTTCACAGCAAAAGTCTCTTTTTATTTTTGCTGTAGAAAGAAAAAAACCTAAACCCAAATTTGTGGGCTCTGCACAATAATTTTTTTTATTTAATATTTATTTAGTTTGTGTTTATATTTATATATAAAACATATATTTATATATATATAATAAATTATAGTGATGAAAAATTTAATTAAAGCATATATAACTGTTAGTAAAATATTTTCTCATGACATTTTATATTAAGTTTTAATAATTTAGTAAATGTCATTTGTTTGGCTTTTGCATCGAAAAAAAAACTTAATACTAGTTTGATTCATAAACACAAACGTCAGGACGAGTAACTAAAGTTATAGAAACAACAATATAATAAAATTAGTTTTATTCATAGAAAAGCATACATAAATCTGATGCTAAAAAATATAATTCAACAGCTAAATTAATTTGGTCTTCAATGAGTTACAGCACGGGTAAAATTTTTTTGTATGTAATATTATTGTATATTTTGTGGTAACTCGATGTTGCTCAGGCAAAAAATTTTGGTTTTAAATATGTTGTAGAAGTGTTTTATTTTAAAGTTGTGAAACTTATTGTCTACTGTATTTTATGATATGTTTTATTTTGAATTTGAACATAATAATTATGGAAGAATTGATGTTATATAATTGGACGTGGTTAAGTTTGTTTCAGGCGATCTTAGGGTGGAAGTAGTGATATGTGTGTAAACTATGGGTCCAAACAATTATTTTGTATATTTAGTCATTCGCAGGAGCAAAATCAATAATTTGAACGGTACAAATTTAGTCTTCGGTGTAAATCAGATTTGGACCGTAGTACCTAAGGATAAAATTTTATATATATATGCTAATGTTAGCTTTTACATTTTTTAATTTAGAATTAAAATTATATGATTTAAATTTTTGGTGTTTTTTTTTTATTTAATCAATGGTATATGTTTAATTTAGTAATTTAGTATTATAGAATTACATATTTATAGGTGTCAACTGTCAAAGAAATTAACAATTTTATATAACTCAATACTTTATCAGACTAAAATTGCTAATTCTAACTATTAATATGACATAAAAAAAATTAATTTTGTATCTGACATTTTTTTTTGTTGAGCAACTTAATTTTGATATTTTTCTATATTTTTACTAAATTAAACTGGGCCAAACAAACCCCAATATAGCTCACTAAAAAACTTAAACCCAATACAACAAGTTGTTGTTTATTCTCTAATTATCAATACCTACTTAAATCAAATAAATTGTTAATCTCAATAAAAAAATACAAATCTAATGCAGCTAAATACAGGTCCGGCCCGTGCCAGAAGCTCATGAAGCTAGGGCTTTAAGGCATCAGATGTTATAAAGAAATTTAGGGGCATCATTTACAAAATTGTTCAATAGGTCTAGTGGTTAAGCTTGGTTCAAAACCCACATTATGCATTCTTTTAAAATAATTTTTTTCTTTTCATTGGGGCATCAATTATATGGCTTGCTTTAGGCAGTCCATATATTCGGGCCGGCACTGGCTAAATATATTAAATTCTAAAATAGAATATTCTCTCCTTATTTATTATCAAGTCATGTTTTCAACCAAATTAATATTTAACAACATTTAATTCCTATAATAAAATCAACCAAATATGATAAGGAAAATAGATCTAAAATTAATTATATAGTATTATTTACTTCTACAAACAAAATATACAATTATTGTCAAATAAATAATACACAACATAATATCCAAATAGTAATAAACATAAAATAATATGATATATTCCTTTTTATACTATTATATTACACTATATTATTTCTTACATAATTCAAATAAAATGAACAATTTAATTCACAGAAAATATAAAATCCCGTGCTGTATAGCACGGGTCCTTATCTAGTAAATATATGAAAATAGATACACTTGCGAGAAATTTACGACTGATTGATCAGCGGGTACGATAGCGGTTAAACCAAAATTTACTAAACTGTCTTCACTGGATCATGTACGTGTGAACTATCATGTACGTGTTGAGGGCCTGCTACGTTCTGTCTCATTGTTGTATTGTTGGTCTAAGGCTTGTGCTTTCCCTGCCCCGTATAAGACTAGCTATGTACTCCCTCTGCCTTGATTCCTCCCCTTGATTGGAATCGACATACTGGGCTGTTGTAGCGTGCAGTTTTTCCGTGTTTTCTGGCTTGACTCACATAAAGTACGTGCGTAACTTTCGAGATGGCAGGATTTACCACTATAACCCTATGGTAGTGATGGTTGGTCCCAGTACTCCTTCGAGTGCCTTTTGCGCTTAGCGTAGGAAAGAGGAGTTGCAAATGTATCGGACTGCAAATCCTGTAATGACGGTTCGACTCCGTCCTTGGCCTACACCTTCATGACCAGAAATAACTGGAACAAAGGGAAAGCCCACTCAACTAGTAACATACGGACACAAACAACAAAACTACTTGTTACAAATAACATCTTGTTGTTGCATCGAAACATATAAATGTTGACTAATCTGGCTAACATTGAACTTGGTAAAATGAAATGGTTGAATAATCTAATGGTTGAATAATCTAATGGTTGAATAATCTAATGAAACATAAAGTAAGCGAGAATGTCGGCTTGAGTAACGCAAACATTGGTGAGAATCCAATGCCCCGAAAACCCAAGGGTTACCCTTTCAGCCTTTATTTAGTTCTATACACGTCTTTTTTTAGGGGATTTAATATATGATTATAAAAAAGTATAAAAACACCAAAAACTATAATTATGAAAAGGTATAAATTTTTTAAACATGATTAATGATTAAAAACCATAAATAATTATTCAAATAAATTTTATATTGAAAACAAAATAGTTATTAATATTAGAAAATTAAAGTTAGATAATTCTTATTTTTTAAGAATTAACGTGAATATATATAAGACTTGATAATATATATTTTAATTTGTTCATTTTTCATTTTTTAGTTTTTTTCCTTTTTTAAACCAACCGCAAACGCTTGCGGGAAGGAGCTTTTGAAATCCAGCGATTTTGAACGGTTTGAAGCGGTATGGAACGGTTTCTATGATTGGTACAAACCTCTAACAATCGCAACCGACCACTAACAACCGCTAGGCGAGTGCTAGCGGGAGAACCAATCAAATCCTAAGGGGGATGTATTGGACTAGAGATTTGAACGATTTGAGTAGTTTTTAGATTTGGTGGGATTTTGATAGGTTTGACTGGTTACCATTTACGATATATCATTTACGATTTTTGTTTTTTTGATAACAATTAACATGTAAATATCATTAAACAAGGAAAGTTGAGGCTTACAAATAAGTTAGACCTAAATATTTACTACCTTGCCAAATAAGCTCATGACTGGTTACATCTGTCGTTCATCCTGATCATAATCTAAAGCAAACCAGAGAAGTGTAAATTGTAATGTTTTATGTCCAAATGTAAATAAAAACTCCCCAAGGCTCGGAACATATGAGAGCAACATCAAGTGAGGCCTGAAGCCTCAATAACAACTTCAAGCAAATGGTAGCACAAATTAAATATGCAAGCATGACAATGTAGCTAGATTCTTCAAAGTCTTGGAACACACCGCCACCGCCTTTTCTTCCCATCGTCCTTGGACCCATTCTCTACCGGCTATATATCCAATTCCCACTGGTTAAGTATCCAGTTATTGTTCTATTTGTTCTCTTTAGTAACTTTGTTTAAATTATTCTGTTTCTTTTTATATCTACTGGATTTGAAGAAGAGTAATTTAGTCATTTAGCACATAAGAAGGGGTATTTTAAAAAATGGATAATAAAAAGGGTATTTTTGAAAAGAGATATAGAAAAAAAGATATTTTTTGTAAATGCCCATCATATAAAGATTAGATGTGAAGTATAATGATTAATACTCAATCTGTTTCACAAAGAGTGTCATTCTAGCATTTTTCGCACAAATTAAGAAAAGTTAACAAATTTCATTTCTACCTCTTATTAATACACTAATTAAATAATACCCTCTTTATAATTAAAAAGCTAAAATAGTAGGGATAAAAAGAGAATTAGTTTTAAAAACTGCATTGAAAACAGAAAACGACACTCTTTATGAAACGAGATTAAAACTTTAAAACGACACTCTTTGTGAAACGGAGGGAGTAACAAATTAATATGTTATGTTTGATATCAAATCTTATATGTTTATTTTGATTGGTTATTCCTTTTTTGAAAATTAATAATGTATTTTTCGTTTTTATAATTTATTTAAATTGCATAAATTAGTATTTGACTTATTTATCTTCAATGAGCTAAATTAATTTGGTCTTTAAAGTTTTATTTGCAATAGAATTCTTAAGTAATAGTTTACAAAAGATAAGATTAGTTTTTTTTAATGTACTTTCAAAATATTAGTATAGAGATTATAAATTGTGTTTGAACCCATTTAAAATTGAATGAAAGAGAAAATAAATAATTGTAGTTCAGCTTGAAAAAATAAAAAATGACAGCGTTTATTTGGGATTATTGTTGATTTTGCCATTTTTTACCAAAATCTTTTGAAAATGCCATTTTTGCAAAAATCTTATGGATTTGCCATTTTCTAACACTTAAAAATATACGTATTTCGGATTTTTTTGGTAAAAATACGTAGTTTATACAAAATACTAAACCCTAAGAACAACCACAACCGACTAAACCCAAACATAACGAATAAAACGCATGTTTCCGTAGCCTGAAAAATGGCAAAATCCATAAACTATTCAAAAAAAGCAAAATCCACAAATGTCATCAAAAAAATGGCAAATCCGTAATTGATTCCATTTTTTTTTTTTCCCCAAAAAATGACAGCGTTAAAACAAAAGAAAAAGACAAAACTACTGAAGCCTACGGTTCCAAAAAAAAAAGGGTTTAAAACCGAATGAAAGAGAAAATAATAAACTTTCAAGAAGTCAAGATATAACACACGTAATCATAGTTAAAATTTAACACAAGGCAACATATAAAACAAGACTCAAAAATAAATGCAAATTAAGATAATTGGAAGCTAGCTTAGCTAGAAGCCTGACCGGAGGTGAAACACACGGCCCCATTTATATAGTTATCTCAAATAGAATTATTTTTGTGCAGGGAAAATTCCCAAAAAAAATCTCATGTATTTTTTATTTGGACGTTTAATACCCAATTGTTTTCGGTTGGAAGAAAAATACACATATTAATAAAACTGTGCGATTTAATACCCAAACAATCAAATGTTGTTATTTTCATACTTACGAACTCACAACAAAAAATATATTCCAATTTTACCCTTATCATCTCAATTAATTATTAACTTTTAAATAAGGTGATATTTTTTTTCTTTAAATAAAAATTAATTTTGTTAATGCTTTATTTTATGATGCCTAAAAAATAAATTTTAAATTTATATAATTATTTTATTTTAAAATTAAACATAAAAATTAGCAGAAAATCAAAAATATTAAAAATAGTCATTTGTACAATCTTATTCCGTCTTTGCAATGTCAAAGAGACGTTTTCTCTTCGGTTCTAATTTTTTCGATTAATATCTACGAGAATTACCGGTAAACAATCTCCGTCGTCCTCTTTTGCAACCATCAAATTCGATAACCATTCGCAATCTCCTTTTAATCCTATCCAAAATCTTCATCGCCAATAAAACTAATTTGATTTGATTCGTCGTGATGCATATGATATCAACGAGCATCAATATGAACTTTTTTTTCGTCGTGAGAAACTCTCTATTCGAATATAAATCCTTCACGAATGAAACTATTTTCGACAAAATCTCAATCCGAATCTCATCGTCTCTCTCAAGATTTATCAATTCATAAAAATGGCTAATTTTTTTTTTTTACTTTTTCTAAATTTTTTGCTAATTAATTTTATTTTTAATTTTTAAAATTAAATATTTGTAAAATAAACTGCAAATTATTTTGAAAATTTTTTTGAATTTTTTTTTGGGATAACAAAGAAATGAAATATTTATAAAATTAATTTTTATGTAAATAAAAAACTATTGTGACGTAATCTAAAAGTTAATAATTAATTGAAATAGTTAGGGTAAAATTGGAATTTTATTTTTGTTGTGAGATCGTCAGTATGAAAATAAAAACATTTAATTGTTTGGATATTAAATCGCACAATTTTATTAATATGTGTATTTTTCTTCCAACCGAAAACAATTGGGTATTAAACGTCCAAATAAAAAATAATTGAGGTTTTTTTTGGGAAATTTCCCCAACATTCTTTTTTTTAACGTATTTTTAACAGTTATATTTAGTTTTCAACAAAGAAATACTTTTGAAAGTTACTTTTGAAAATAGCATTTCAGATTATATTTACAAGTCTTCTTTCAATGGTCGTTGTGTTTTTCAGATATAGTTTTATGACTATAAGTATTCTTGAAACCCATATTTTAAAATTATTTCAATGGTCGTCGTTGCTTTGTATTTGTGCAAAAATGAAATACTAATCATTAAGGAGTACTGTGCATCAGGTGTTTATTGAAAAGAGATTGCTTTGTCCCAACCGTTTCGTCTGGACCACCTTTTCCCCATTCTTTCAACCTTTTCCCCATTTCTTCTTTGAATATTTTTAACATTTTCTATATTACTAAAGAAGTTTTCTCTTAAAAAATGAGTGTTACTAAATATGCTTATACCGATAATTATCTTTTTTTCATGGAAAAGTTTAGTCATTAATGTAGACGAAGCTGTGAAAACGTTTTAGTTTAACTAGTGAACCAGTGTAATTAAGTTTTAAACTTTTTGTTGACAAACTTAATTCCTATTGTATATATCAATTTTTGTAGAATGTATATTAAACTGAAGCATTTAGTGTTAGACTTTTAGTAAACATGTTATATCATATCGTGGAGAGTCCAATTTAGTAAACCAACTTTAACTTTTTTTTTTTTTTCTTTGTGTTGATCAAATTTAAATATTTAGTTTCAGCTTTCAGTACACATATTATTCATACCCAATATTTTTAAACTTGACCTGGACGGTCAACCAGAGTATCTTTTAAGTTATCGAATCATTGGATCAATTAATTAAATTTTTTTTTTATGTATTTAATATTTACAGAGATTATATAATTTTATCAAATAATAATAAAAATATTTATACCATGTTTAACAAAATATGAAATCTAATAATAATAATTAATTAATAAAACTTTTTAAATCCAATGAAAACCGTAAAAATACTAAGGTAGTACGATAGTGAATACAAAAAACTGAAAAAATAATTGAAAAGTGAATAGTAAATAATTGTGGGTTTTTTCGATTTTAAATTTGCCGGACATTAACACTAAATCAAAACCGGGAAAGTGTCTAGATCGCGGATTAACCTGTTGGATTGGATGGATCTGGATGTGAAAACACTGGTCATATCCAAAACAAAGAAAAATGTAAGACTTTTAGATGTTTTCCTAAACGGCTACAAAAAATTTTCACTTTGAAAGTTGATGAAATAGGTACGAAGTATGATTAAATTTATAGTCTTAAATTTCGTTGACAGATTTGGTTATGTTAAATTCGGTGTTTAATTGTTTTGGAAAAGTTTAATTTTTATCGTCAATCAAATAAAATAATGTAATAGAAATAGTTACAAAATCAGTTTTCTTAAAAGAAATAGTCCACCAAATAATAGAAGACAAAGTGTCCGTAGGTTTCTAATTTCGAAATGTTCAAAAGTTATGAAAAGAATAAATATTTCTATTTATAGTCCATGTATTAAATATAAGAACGTGACAAATTTCGACAAACATTCTTGTTATGTCATTAAAGTGAACAAGGACTATTTTGTGTAAGTTTTCTCCGCATGGAAAAAAAAAAAAAAAAAAAAAATTACAAATTATAATCTCATTCACTTCCTCATCTGAAAAGCCTGCTACGAAAAAAGAAGATTTCTGGAGACTGATAGCAAGACCTGAGCATCTGTCAAACTCTTTAAGAACTTGGGAACTGCCTTGATTGAAGACAACTTAGACAAGGATCCATCCACAAAGATGAGAAAGGTCATGAGCAAAGTAGAGGTGAGTCATGAGCTTTGACTTAGCACAAAGTAGAGGTGAAATCAATTTCCCGTTTAACCATTCAGTTTTCTCGTTCTAATTATGTTTGGTTTTGTACGTAATTGGTTTACCAGCGGTTACTGGACACCAATTTCTCGTTAGAGACATGGGATTTTTTAACGTTGCTGGACTGGAAGAGAACCAAGCGGTGGCGTTTCACTCTAGGTTAACACACTCGGTTATATTCCGGTGTGCCTTGAACGAGTTCCATGATACGCTTTGTGCGCACTAGGGAGAACAACTATATGGATAGTGCGAGATTATCGGTAAGGTCGGGCTGCACTTTCTAAGAAGAGCAAATCTCGACTTGTAATATACGTAAAGGAAAGTATTTACAAGGAGAATGTGTCTTTAGAAACAACATTGTTATGTGTGGGGATGGAAGATTTAAAACTATCGTCTCAGGTAAATAATTTTGTCGCTAATATTGGATTATCTTAAACTTTCATATATATATATATATATATTTGTTTGTAACATTTAAATTTTAAAATATGTATAGATTTAACTAGTGGCATATGGTGGTGAGTATTTTATGATTTTTAAAGATGAAAGTATAATAATTAATGTTGATTTTTAAAATTGGCAGAAAATAAGCAAATTATAAGCAAAACATAAGCATCATATATAAGCAAAATATAAGAATATATACAAATATAACAAACATATATCAAAAGTTATAAACCTTACAAAAACTTATAAACATTTAATTATAGTTGTTTTCTTTTCACAGACCTCAGATGAGGAAAATGTCGAATGTGTCGATATATATAAACAGTCAGCATTTGAGCACTACCTTTTAAAAAACCACAAAATTCAGGCTCTTTTTTTTATATAATTAATTTCTTTATCATTTTACTTATCTTTATTTTAAAATTTATATAATATTTTTCGACGAAAACTAATAATTCTTTTCAAAATTTATTTTTACAGAAACGTCCATCCAAATTTCCGATCGAAATGAAACATATAAGCAAATGGGAAACAAGGAAAGCTTACGTGAGCACTTGGAAGTGTCCCGGAGGAACCATACCTATTCGGAAGTACGAAAGAACTAATTGTACTGATGAATCTTCTGCTTCTCTAATAGGAGGTTCTCCACATGAGGTATTATCATATATATATATATATATACATCGTTAAATTTCAATTACAACGAATTCTATCGTTTTTTAAAACACTTGATTTCACACTTGAATACTACGTAATATTTAGTAAATAACTCATAATTTCATTATTATAATTTATATCTTACTCAATGAATCGATTTCCATATACACTCCTTTTTTTTTTTTTTTTTTTTACTTTTACCAAATTGTTATGTATGAAGAAGTATGATTTTTTTTTTTATGGAACTATCAGATAGGGGTCTGTTTTTTTGGGCTTTTGTTGATAAATAACATGTTAAAGAAAATATTAATGGATCTTTCCTAGAAATATTCATGGGCCTTGGCCACTTCTTCTAACTACTGAGGCAGAGAATTTTATGCATTGAATTTCCGGTTTAGAAGCCTATCTATTTCAGAAACATCATAAACCAACATCTTTTATTGTCTGTTTTAATAATTATTGATATTATGACTTGGAAAATAACAGCATGCGGTCGGAACTACGGTAACCTCAACAAAAATATACGGAGCAAAGGCTACAATGAGTGTGTGGGATCCAACCGTAGAAAGAAGAGATGAGTTGGTTGAAGTTACAACAAAAACAATCTTAATAGCATTGAAGTTCGTTGGCAGGTATGCTCAAAATTTGTAGTGTTATTTCTTTTTCAATGTATATAATACTATTTGCATTCTAGCTATACATTTACAATAATTTTTTTTATTTTAGGTTTTGCCAAATTTATATCAAGACAGTAAACCAAGACTATTCATCTTTTGGACTGTAAGTAACTAAATAAGGTTTATAAAAAGTTTGATTATCAATTTTATCTCATCTGTTTTATATTAAAATCACAAATAACAATTTGGTTTGTTTATTATTAAAATAATATATTTTACGTAACGAATTTTACACGTTCAAAATAGTTACATCGTTGATAAATAAATTATGTAGGATCAAAAGAGCAGAAACTGGTGGTTGAGTTTGGGATCCAACCATTCATTGGTTGGATATTAGCCGGCTCCAATTTTTGCAAATTTAGCTTATGCAGATGATGTGCAATGGGGTGGTGAGATCGTGAACTCAAACATTTCCGGTCGACACACTACAACACAGATGGGATCCGGTCATTTTCCTGATGAAGGCTTCGACAGAGTTGGCTACGTTCGAAACCTAGAGATCGTAGACAACAACAACGAATTCCAGCCGGTTCAAGACATAAAAGTAATAGCAACCGACCCTAAATTCTACACTATCAAAAACATGACTGGAGATGATTGGGGTACATATCTCTTCTATGGAGGGTCAGGGTATAGTCAGATTCATTCAGGAGTCTCTTCTCTAGCATTGAGTTCGTTTTTCTATTATTTTAGTTTCATCATTTCTTTTATCATTTAGTTTATATCCATTTTTTGTTTTTCGATTTAACACTAATGTTGTAAAAGTAGTATATAAAAATCTGCTGCTAAAAAAACATAATTCAACCGTTCAAACCATTCATTGATTTCTATCATTTTTTGCAACAACATCGTCCATCAACACACGCTCCATCATTATACCTCTTGTGCAAGCAGTCATGCCAACATTCATAAAGTTTATACCTCTGTGTACATGGTGCATAGCACACATCATTGTTTGATGTTTCAATCACTTCAACACATATACAACTTGTGTTAAAAAATAAAAAGTAAAATCTATACGCACACATATACACTAAAACAGGTTTTACACCTTTTGATATAAAAAGTAAAAACATACCCGATGAAGCCAAAACGTTAGAGTTAAACAATGAGTTTATCAATATCACTACAAGAAAAAAAATCACATAAGTTTTCTTCATTTTTTTTGCTGTTAATTCTCTGTTGTAAAAAGTGAATAGTTACATTACAGAGTCTTCTTCAAGTAGACAAAAAGAAGAAGAAAAAGTTTATACTTCTCTAATCTTACGAAAATCTCTATTTATATAAATTCTTGCCAAGAAGAGTCTCAATTTTAAACCTAGGTGTTACCGACCAAAAAAAACAAGTCTACTTACTTATTATTATTTTTACCATAAAAGAATTTTCCATATTTGCTGATAACATTATTTTCGTGGTAGAAAAATATTAATACTATAGTTAGATTGGCATATATGGCATGATTCTATATTTTGGGGTACCGAATCATGGAAATATATAGTCAAAGATTATTTGATAACCATTTAAGTAATGTTGTTGAACGAAAGATGACAAAAATGGAAAAGAGAAAGTTTCATTACGTAAAAAGAATCTTATAATTAATATCATTCAAGTATATCAAATTAAATGCAAGATCTGAGTGCAAAAAATTAATGTAAGTAAATTTGAACTGACAATTATATATGTTAATATTTGTGTCTACGGATCAGTGGCGATTCTGTCAATAGAATAGGTCCTCACTCAAGGGATGGATCAAAAACAATTGGACTTTTTAAAATTGGCCTATTTAGTTTTTTTAACAAATGGGTCCACGAAAAATGAAATACTAGTATAATGGGCAACTACTTTTTGAATGTTAATTTCTTTTAAAATCTTATGGTAACTTTATACACTAGAATTAACCAAAATGTGAGGGAACTAACCAAAAACTAATAGATAGACAAATACATATACTTGTTGTACATAGATATTTTTTTAAAGCATGTCAGTCATACATTAGTTTTTTTCTATTTTCTTTTGTGAGTAAACATTAATGTTTTAATGGTCATTTTATAAGAATATTTATTCATTTTAAAAGAAATAATAAATGAATTAAAGTAATGTATCAAGTATTTAAAATGGTTTATTAATATTTATGTGAGAAAATCTAAATCAATTTTTCTTTTCTTCTGGGTAAATTCTAAAAACTTTGAATGGAGAAAACAAATTCTATATCAGATCTTATGTCAAATTTTCACCAAAATTAAAATCTCATAATTTTTAATGTTTCCACGTGGCGCTACACTGAGTCCAGTCACGTCACCAGTAAGTCACTTTGATCTACACATGTTGTCCACAATCTTAAGTTTTTTTTTTTTTTTTTTTTGTGTTACAATCTTTATAAATTTGAGACGAAATCATTTTCTCCTAAAATCTTTCTTCATTGCAAAAGAAAAACAAAAAAAACCTTAAGAAAACTTCTTTTCACTTTCTTCAATGACTTCTTCTAAAGCTTGTTATAAACTCCTTACCATTACAATTCTCCTTCTCTCCTTCACAATTACCTCTCTTGCCGGTAACGCCGAGTACGCAGACGTAAGCGAATGCAGAGCGGAATCTGGAGATCCATCATGTCACAACAACAAAATAGCACAAAAGTTTAAACTCATTGCAATCCCATCGATCTTAGTGGCGAACATGATCGGTGTTTCTTTACCGTTGCTTTCTCGTTTCATTCCTGTTTTAGGACCCGACCGAGATATGTTTGTGATCGTTAAGACTTTAGCTTCGGGTGTAATTTTGGCAACCGGTTTTATGCATGTGTTACCGGACTCTTACGATGATCTCACGTCCAAATGTTTGCCTGAAGAGCCCTGGAGGAAGTTTCCTTTCAGCACTTTCATCGCGACGGTCTCGGCTTTGCTCGCTTTAATGATTGATTCGTATGCGACGAGAACTAGTAAGCGTGAAGGAGAAGCCGTACCATTAGAAAATGGATCTAATTCTGTGGATACACAAGAAAAGGTCAACGATGATAAGACAAGTCAACTTCTTAGGAATAGAGTCATTGCTTTGGTGCATTTAATTACAACTTTTATATTTTTATCATTGCTTATGATCTGTAAATGAAGCTAGAGATCGATTTTTACTAAACTTGTTTTCTCTTGTTAAAAATTAGTTTGGATCTAGGTTTGGAATTTCGAATCATCAAAGACAAAAATGTTTAATCCTAAACATTTTAAATGATTGTTTTGGTGCAGGTGTCGGAACTAGGTATCGTAGTTCACTCGTTCGTGACCGGTCTCGCTATGGGGGCTTCAGATAACCAATGTACCATACGATCACTTATCGCAGCGCTTTGTTTCCATCAACTTGTTGAAGGAATGAGACTCGGTGGTTCCATTTTACAGGTATTTCAATAGCTATATACGCGTTGATTTGGTGGTAAAACAATCAGTCTAACATATTTATAAATTTTTGTTTGTTATAGGCGGAATTGAAAAGCAAAATGAATTGGATAATGGTGTTTTCCTTTCCGGTCACAACACAAGTTGGGATAGCTTTAGGGATGGAAATACACAAGATATATGATGAGACAAGTCCGACATCGTTGATCGTAGTGGGGGTCTTGAATGCGTGTTCTGCAGGATTATTGATTTATATGGCACTTGTTAATCTCTTGGCTCATGAATTCTTCGGACGACCAAAGAAGATTCATTTCCTAGGTTATGTTGCTGTCTTTATAGGTGGTGGAGGAATGTCTTTAATGGCTAAGTGGGCATAGAACTCTTGAGTTAGACTCATCTTTACTTCTGTGTTCAGTTTAATTTTCGATCATTAGAATAAAAAAATATTGTATGATTTAGGGCTGATAATTAATGATTATATGGTACTAGTTGATCTCTTGGCTCATGAATTTGTCGGACCAAAAATAAAAGGGAACATGAAATAATAAAATTAAAACTAAGTATAATCAGTACCAGCCCTCAGAGCCGTAACTGAACATAGCCGGGTGAAACATTCGTGTTGGGCCCCCAAATTTTTTACGAGTAATATGTATAGATTTTAGGGCCCCAAAACAGTAAAAAAATTTTTATATATAGATTACGAGGCCCCCAAACTGTAATTGTTTGTGGCCTCATAACTCGTAAGGCCGGCCCTGCCAGCCCTGATACGCTTTGTGGGATTACCTTCTTCTTCCCTTCCTCTTTCTCTATCAAAAGAGTTTATTTGATCAAAGAGCAATGCTGGCCATTCAGAACCATTATTTATTACTATGAGTCTATGACAGATCGATCAACAAACAATTTCGGGTAAGAGATCTTACTCGTGAAATCTTCGATGTTGGAGAAATCTTCGATCATGGTTCGACGAGATCTTCATGAGTGGCAATTGGGCTTTGTAAAATTGGCCTATTTAGTTGTTTAACAAATGAGTCCGCGAAAAGGGAAATTGTATAATGGGTAAGAAAGTGTTCAAGAAAGTGCTAGGCGCTAAGCGGGCGGTGATCTAGTGCCTAGCGCCTAGAACGCCTAATCGGGGCCTAGGCGATTTTTTAGACGGTTTAGACGTTTATAACATAAAACATTATAAATATGATATTATATATAAAAGTTATATAAAATATCTATATAAAACTAAAAATTATGAAATTATAAACAAAAACTAAATAAAACATTTATTTATATTTATATTAAACAATATATGAATATTTATAACTATATATATAAATAAAACTCTAATTGAAATTGAAAAAATACACTAAACAAGTTCTATATAATTTTAGGCGGTCAAGGCGGTTATCTAGGCGTCGCATGAGAGCCTAGCGCCTAGTCGGGGCCTAGACGACCGCCTAGACCGCTTTTTAGAACACATTGAGAGGAAAAGGCTAGACAAGTGTTGGAGAGATTTTATTCAATTTCAATCTGTATTTATTTATATTTTATAATCTTGTTTTGCTGATATGATCAAATATAGCTATTTTCTTCACTGCCAAGATCAAATGTAGTTTAGACTCTTCAGTAATCAACTCTAGAAAATGATGTGCTAAATAAATATACTATGGGTGTAATGTGGGAATAAGACAAACAAATAGTCACTGAGTGATGATGTTGGTCCGCATAGTATAATTAACTTGTATATTTATCACATTCACGTCAAATCATACACCAAACGATGACCAAGTTGCCGATAAATCATATCCAAAGCCAAAAAAAAAAAACATCATGATATGTCCATTTTTTTATTGTGTTGGTAGGACAAACGTTAATCTTACTCATTTACATAGCTTTATATATGACTATGAGGGTAACACTCGTAGAAGAATTGTATATGTGATGAGAGATACATTTAGTAAAGCAATGAAACGTCAAAACTAATATTGTCCAAATATTTTTCTACGTTTAGAGCATATATAGTGAATATATTTTTTTATTTACAAGGTTAAAAGAAGATTGTCGAATAATGCCCAAAACATTAAAAGTTGTTAAATTCGAAAAGCTTCGAAGCCTACCCTACATTACATAAAACTCATAAAAGAAAGAAAAAAGGTTGAATTTAGAAGTTCACATCTAAAATATAGTATATAATCAATTCTCTTTAATTAGTATGGAAACCAATCATATGAATTTTATTGTAAACAAAACATACACCAACATCGAAACAATCAAACGATACGATATTGGCAAATGTTTTCACCATAGTGATCATATCTAGTAACTGATTTCTTCTAAATTAATATATCATCTTTAGTCTTTATCTATATAGTACATAATTTGGCTTGTTTTTCTTCCTTGTAATTTGAATTCGAGCATGATATATGTATGAAAATTACTAAAAGTATGATCCATGACTGATTTCGAAAATGAAAAAAAAATATCATTGATCAAAGAATTCAAAACTTAATATGTAAAATAGTGTTGCCTCTTGATAGTACATATATATAGAGGTACAAGTACTTTTTTTTTTAAAAGACATCAAAGGAATGATACGTTAAATTGATGTTGTCTTGTCGAAAGGACGGATATAAGAAAATGATAACCCCTACCCACAAATGGGGTCCCATTCAATATCATCGTTTTGTTGCGTCGGAATTTGGTATGATTCTTTGAACTTTTTGACAACTTTGGATATTACCTGATGAGATGATAAATGGATAATGGAGAGAAAATGGGTCGTCGATGCCCATTTCGCTTTCTTTGCAGCTGTCTTTGGGACCATCACGCTTACACTTTACCACTTTCTCTTGTCTCTCTCTTAACACTCATCAAACCTCATTTATTTGGTTCATACTTTGAAGCTATGAATGGTTAAAAATGCAGTTTGTGACAGTTAGGCGATATAACCGCAACATATTTAGGCCTTGATCGTTTGAACCATCCATCAAGCAAACCAATATATAGCTAATGGGTTCATTGTATGAACGATCACACCAAAAAGTGAGAGTAGACTAATATTATTTATGGGACAAGGCCAAGCCACAAGGACATACCAAAGAAAAAAACAAGAGAAAGGTGATAAAGGGGCAAAAAAACAAACAAACAAACAAAGAAGATCACAAAGAGAGGTAAAAGAAATATTTACAAAACAGTTAAAAAAAAAAACAAAACCCCTTTTCTTCACCTTGTCGCTTGTCATAAGCCAAACCTTCCAAAAGTAACTACTATTTTTTACTACCATAGAACTGAAGGGAAGTCTCCAGTTTCATACTCCAAGCTGTAGATTCTGTCTCTTTTAACTTTCTCTCTCTCGAGATGTTTTACTTTTTACTATATGACTCTCAAAACTGGCATGAAGTGCCAAGTCTCTGTCTCTTACTCAACGTTGCGGTTTTGCGTTTTGCGAAAGCCGGTCCAAGTAACTCTTGGAACCTCTCTAGGAAGAGAACCCACTCGTCTTCTTTCATGTCTGCTACTTTCACAAAGCTTGCACTCACTGGAAGCTGTTCGTTTGCGCTTTTGTGACCAGACGATGTGTTCTCGGATTTGCCTCTGGTTAAGGGTTTTGGGTGTTTTCGTGCTGTGTCGCTAAGATGTGTGTTCTTCATTGAAGTCGAAAGCTTTGAAAGAGATGGAGCTTTGTCATGAAAAGCAGCTGAACTAAAAAAACTGTCTTTCATAATGATCATAGGGACAGCATTTTCAGTTTTGTCCTCTTCTTCTTCATCATCTTCTTCTTCTTCCTTGATGCTTTCTTCAAGCTTCCCGAGTGAAGAACGTCCGTTTGAAAAAGGGTTTTTGGTGAAGTAGTCATCGGTTAGTTGTATCTTGGAACTGTAGACTGATTCTAAATCATCACAGTCTAGATCGAACTGAAACTCTGCTTCTCCTACGACATCTGACCTTGGAGAGAAAACATCGCGTTCAGTGACTGATCTCTTGGCTTCAATACACACAACCTCCAGTTCACTTGGCTCTTCTTCTCCTGGTCGAAATTCCCGAGTCATCATCTCGCCAATCTCAGCAAGACACAGCCCATAAGAAGCAGCTTCTTTGAGGAAAATAGTACAGAGAACAAGAACCCGAAGACACGCCTCTCTAATCATTGGAAGTTCTCTTCTAAGCATGTCACAGTCTTTCAATGGATCAAGACTTTGTATGTAGTCAAGCTCTTCATCAGAGAATGGTAATGATGCCTGAGGCCAATGAATCCACTCAAAATAAGGATCCTCAAGTGTTTCTGGCAGGCAGAGACCATGGTCAATTGGAATAAGCTCCACTTGACCAAACATTCCGACTCCATCAAGCTTCTTCACCAAAAGATTCCCACCATGACGGTCTGTGTTGAAGATCCTTATGTCCAATATACCAATGCGATGCACAGAAGCTACAGGGAAGCTTGAAGTGCCATGATCGCTTGCATCGAAATCATGAGCCACAAACTTCTGGAAAGAAGCAATCTTACTAACCAGCTTCTTCTCCCGAGGCTTGTTCCCTTTCACCCCATCGTTGACATTGAATACAGAATGAGTTATCTTCACCAGAGCAGTGGGAGGGACATTAGCAAAGCGACCATAATCAAGAAGATAAGCTGCAACTTCTCTAAACCCGGTTTCCCCAACTCGCACCGAAGACTTTAAGCCAGGCTGCCCAAGGGCTTTCCCAACAAAGCCTTTAGGATTGTTAGGTGCAAACGGCTCTTCATCTGTCGGCTTGACAATCGCAACACTCTCACCCCTTTTGTTCCTAAAATAATATGCACCTCCAAGCCCGCTATGAACAGGAAGCGGTTCAACACCCATCTTCATCGCCTTAACAATGTCCTTCACCATATGTTTAACAATCGAAAAGCAATCCGAATGGCCTAATATCTCAATAGGACCACTTCGATCTTTCTGTTGCAAATCCCTCCCAGTAGGTGAAAGACAAGGAGTAGACGAGCTTCTATGCATAAAATTCCGTTTCAGCAGAAGCGGAGAATCATTCCTCACAGCACTCAAATCATTCGTCAACACCATATCCCCATAAGTCAAAGAACTTTCCTCAGTAGGGAAATTAAGAGCAATCTGAAGCCTCCTTTTAACAGTATGAACATTATCACTACGATCCAACTCCATCCCCAAAACACAACCAGTTTCGGTTTGCACGAAAACCCGCCTCCCCGATGATTGCCTCTGAAGATGCTGATGTTTATGATGCTGCTTCCCTTCCATCTTATTAGCCCCAGTAAGGGGAGTCTTAAACACTGCCACTGCCATTTGTGTCTGAACAGGACTGTCTAAGTTCCTCGACATGAAACAGAAGGAGAAACCAAAAAAGGCTTCTTTTGGTAAACAACAGAAGCAGTAGCCGAAGAGAGACCTTCAAGACCAGTGCCTTTGTCTAAAACCAACACGAACCGGATAAAGCAAATACCTAAAGCGATCATGAAACGCAAGAGAACACACACAGCTTCTATAAAAACTCGAGCTTTGAGAATGAATTTGATTCCCAAATTACTACATCAGGTAAGCCATGATGATTGAAGAAATCT